TAAAGCCCTCACTTTTCCTCTTTGAGACAGACTGTTGATTGTTGTTAGGCCGAAAGAGTGAAGATAAGGCTTTGGTAGATTTCTGAACTAAGAAACCTGGGATATGAGTCTCTTTCCATATGCAGATAAACAATTTTTTGAGCCTCATCGAAACAACACTGAGTTGGTTCCTGAATCTTCAAGGTAATACCTTCTCTTACTGGACTGTCAATATTAATCTGAAAAAAAAGAAAGTAGCTTTTATTTTACTTTTAAAGAAGGCAAGAAACTGGACCTAGTAGGTAGCTAAAGAATGTACAAAAAATGAGCATCAAGAAAGATGTCGTAACAATTATTTATTTGTCTGGGTATGGCTACCCAACTTGCAAATAACTGGGATAACTTGCACACAGTTAAAAGCATAAAAACCAGAGAAATCAATAGAAAAACACACAAAACACCACAATTCAGAATAACCAAAGCCAAATCAAATGTATTCCAATACGAAATCATATCAGGATGGGCTCAGAACTAAAGGTCAGGCCCACTGCTTTACCAAAGACCAACAAATATACAAGCCAGTGTGGTCTAGGGGTTATGGCTAAGGTGACACAAATAGGTGTCATGGAAGATCACTGGATGACTTGAAGCCAGTTATTCACAGCCCAATTTCCCTCACAGGTTTGTTGTATACAAAAAATAAATTCTTAATGTGGGTACTGTGGTACAGAGGTACTGTGTATGCTGACTATAATTCCTAAAGGAAACTGAGTATATAACTTTGATAAATAAGTAGTCTGTTCTGTTAAAAAAAATGTGTGGATGTATGAAAATGTAATATGACATGGAGATATGATTGCCATTCTTTTATAATTTTACTTCTGTTATTTTTTTCCCCTATAACACGGCTTCTCTGGGAAGCCTACTGATGGACTAGTGAGATTCTTAGACTAATCTAACCAGCTTGCTTTATCTTGTCTCATAGTTCAAATAATTCCAGTATTCTAATGAAAGTTGCAAAAGGATCAGGAGGAGAATAAATATTACACTACCTAAATAAATGTGAAACAACTATAGTATTTAATATACCATTAATTCATTTACTTTTACATAATGTATTTATTTATTAAGGTGGCCTTCTAGACCAGGGCTTTTCAACCTTTTCACCCATTGTACCACTTTTAGGATATGGCAACATCCGACTATCACCAGCCGCTTAGCAAGGTGTCAAAAACTTGATGACCCCCCCCCCCCAAAAAAAGAAAAAAAGTGATAAAGTACAGATAGTCCTCGACTTACAACAGCTCACTTAGTGACTGTTCAAAGTTACAATGGCACTGAAAAGGGTGCCCTCCAAGCCACAGCCAAGCAAGACACCTGCCTGCCCATCCAGCGGTGCTCTTTCTCCTGTCCGAGGTTTTCATTGTTGTGAGCATTTCTGTTGAGGATTGGCAGTGGGGGTGGGGTGGAGGGGTATTTGGTTTTTATTCCCCCATCTGCTGGGTGTTTGCAGCAGGTTTTGGTCATTTCACAAGACCCTGGGACACTGTGACCGTCATAAATATGAATCAGTTGCCAAACATCTGAATGTAAATCACAAGACCCTGGAGATGCTGCAACAGTCCAGCTGATCGGCGCTTCTTCTGGGCTCAGCAGAAGCGCCAGGATCAGTGCTGCTTTCCAGCTAATTGGTGCTTCTTCAGGGCTCAGCAGAAGCACCAGGATCTCCTCCGCTGAGCCCTGACAGCCCTGCAGCTCCAGCCATCTCTCGCTCAGGCTTGTGCGGTGCTGCCACTGGTTCAGCTCATTCCCCTCCCCCGCTACCACTTTTCTAGGATGGTCGTGTACCACCTGCCAGATGCCAATGTACCACAGGTGGTACCCATACCACTGGTTGAAGAGCCCTGTTCTAGAGATATACCTCCTCTCTTCTAGCAGCCTGCTTGTGTAGCTTTATGTTGCGATTTAATGAGATATTCCACCTCAGTAAAGAAAGAAAATTCTTATTCATTATACCAAAGCTATTGGTGAGTTTTCAAACGGNCCTTCTCTTCATTAAACTAGACATACCCAATTCCAGCAACCATTCTGTATATGTTTTAGCCTCCAGTCCCCTAATCATTTTTGTTGTTCTTCTCTACACTTTTTCTAGAGTGTGAACATCTTTTTATATTGTGGCAACCAAAACTGGATGCAATATTCCAAGTGTGGCCTTACCAAGGCATTATAAAGAGGTATTAATATTTCACATGATCTTGATTCTATCCCTCTATTAATGTACCCTAGGACTGTGTTGGCTTTTTTGGCAGCTGCAGCACACTGCTGGCTCATATTTAAGTAATTATCCATTAGGACTCCAAGATTGCTCTCATAGTAATACTATTATGTTATTCTGCAACTACTGTATATCACTGTTCCATCAATCAAATGGGAACATAAAGGCTCTGAGGAATAACAACCAAGGACCAGGGAGGTTTATTATTGCTATAATGTACAATGGTCAATTGGAATGGATTTTCCTACCATGATATGATGTTCAGACTGCAAATCAGACAGCATTAGCTCAGTGGGGGCAGGCATTGTGTATTCTTATCCTCAAGACATGGTGAGAAAGCTTGAGCAAACTGGTCATTTGGGCCAGCCCACCCTCTCCTCCCTCTTAACTAACAGATGCACACAGATGGTATAAACTTTGTTATTAAGAGACATCTTGCTTTACATGAATATATGTTTAGTGGTCCACTACTTTAAGCCCACACAAGCATCACCTCCCAATTTTTTAAATCATGCAATCCCTAGTATTCTGCATAAGAGGTGATTACAACAGTAATCATATAAATTAATGTAATAAATAAATGCATGAAAAAGCACAATAGGGCATCTCCAAGGGAGGCTACAGCAGGCCTCACAAGTTGAGGGTCTTTTTGCAATAAATAGAATGATATCATGAATTAAAACTTTTATTTCAAAGAAATAAAGTTAGTTGATTAAAAAAATTAATATCGGTCTTAGAGTTCTCTACTCAGTATTGCCATTGACTGAGTCTCTGATATTAATGGACATAAAACAATGGTGGTACAAGTCTCATTTACATAGAATCCAATGAAAGGAATCTATATTCTACTGTCTTTTCCCTACAATATTAGGTTGTTATTGAACTCTGGTCTCTAACATTTCCCCCCAAAATCCTGCCATCCATCCCTAACATAAGTACTATGATGTTAACCATTCTAGATAAAATATCATTGGTTGTAACATTCAATCATTTCATTCTAATGTGTATGAGATCAGGGCTACACATTACTTCTTTCATCTCTGTCAAGTCATGATCCTAGAAGTGGACATGGCTAGGATGAAAAAAGGTAGGCAGAACTCATTAATTTTGTTGTACAATAGTTCAGTCACTTTATGACTGGATGGATGTCATTTCTCCAGGATTGTCCTCCATTATCTGCTGATCTGAGTATTGATAAGCTCCTCCTTGAGTCATCAATGATCATATGTGGCTACCCTGGCATCTGTCAACCTCTCCAATCAAATTTGTTCATTCGTTCGTTCGTTCATTCATTCTTTGATTCATTCATTCAGTTTATAGGGCTATTTCAGAATTTTGACACTGGGCAGTTAACAACAATGGAAAATACTATAAAATAATTTAAACAACACATATATCACCAGTAGCAGAAGTAAAAACAGAACATTACCATTGCATAAGCTCTGTCATGCATCTGGATCCTCAAGCTCATGGACAAAACCCTCTTTTTAAGACGTTGTAAAAAGCCAGCAAATCAGGACCAATATAATCCCTAGAGGGTTGATGTCCCAAAGGGCGAACCCCATGGCAGAGAAAGCTTTCTTCCTGGGCTCCACCAGATGCCAATCCTCAATACTGTATTTTTTTAAATAATAATTTTATTAAATGCATTCCGTAATATTGTAGAAAGTCCTAGTGCATGCATCTCCTACCAAACGCAATGGCATGGGTAGGCATAATTGGGGAGAAATGTCACTCAAATAAGATAATAAATAAAAGAATTTTATTGTTAATACAATTTAATATTATTATGTTAACAATATCCAACTTTTATTGGATTATTCACTTGTACTTTATTAAATATAAATATTGTAAGAAAAAAAATAATTTAAATATATTCCAAATGATCTCTCCTTTCATTTAAATTCACATATTACATACATTCACTTACTCACTTATATTCATACAAACTTTGGTGTTAACTTCCAGTGTTTGTGTTCAGCGTCTGCTTGGTTGCTTTGAAAAACATAGGTTTTAATTACGCTACCTGTCTATATCAATTAATTAAGTTTTAAAACACTTTAATTTGATATACCTGTATTTCTAAACCACCCAATAACTACCGTTCTCTTGGGAGGCGGGGGTGAACAAAACTTCTAAAAATATACTATTTAAAATAAAATATAAACTTTAAAAGATAACGATACTAGCATTATATAGATTTTAATATAATACTGTAAATATAGCTTGTCCTTAATATATTGTTACAGATTTACCTTTACTTTATCTTGTTTGGTGTGGCTTTTACATAGTGCAGGGTGAACTCCAGCAGCAGTTGCAGTCTTCCTTGAATTGTTTAAAAGAGGCTTAATGGCTTAATGGCTGGATGACTGGCTGAATGTTGATAGAGTTTCTGGCTATTGATGCTGTAGCTTGCATAAGGCAGGAAGTGCCACAGAGGATGTTAGAAGTTCTGATCTGAGTAAGAATACTTGGTTAGCTCAACCACATCAGCCTCTGACATTGTGATGGTTCCATTATTCAGACAATACTAAAGCTTTGGTTGATACCTTTGAATTTTACAGTTCCATTTTGTATAAACTTTCCCATGCCAAGTTAAAACAAGAAAATAATGCTCATATCAAAATATTTATATTTTCTGAGTCCATTCATTTAGTGTATTCTTCTCCAAACTGGGGAACATGATTTTGACTTTAACTCAGAGGGCTTTAAACTGGGGAAGAGGTTGCTGGTTGGGAAAGTGCCATGCTTGCTTTTATCTGATTTTGAAACTCAAAATAAAGCCCTCACTTTTCCTCTTTGAGACAGACTGTTGATTGTTGTTAGGCCGAAAGAGTGAAGATAAGGCTTTGGTAGATTTCTGAGCTAAGAAACCTGGGATATGAGTCTCTTTCCATATGCAGATAAACAATTTTTTGAGCCTCATCGAAACAACACTGAGTTGGTTCCTGAATCTTCAAGGTAATACCTTCTCTTACTGGACTGTCAATATTAATCTGAAAAAAAAGAAAGTAGCTTTTATTTTACTTTTAAAGAAGGCAAGAAACTGGACCTAGTAGGTAGCTAAAGAATGTACAAAAAATGAGCATCAAGAAAGATGTCGTAACAATTATTTATTTGTCTGGGTATGGCTACCCAACTTGCAAATAACTGGGATAACTTGCACACAGTTAAAAGCGTAAAAACCAGAGAAATCAATAGAAAAACACACAAAACACCACAATTCAGAATAACCAAAGCCAAATCAAATGTATTCCAATACGAAATCATATCAGGATGGGCTCAGAACTAAAGGTCAGGCCCACTGCTTTACCAAAGACCAACAAATATACAAGCCAGTGTGGTCTAGGGGTTATGGCTAAGGTGACACAAATAGGTGTCATGGAAGATCACTGGATGACTTGAAGCCAGTTATTCACAGCCCAATTTCCCTCACAGGTTTGTTGTATACAAAAAATAAATTCTTAATGTGGGTACTGTGGTACAGAGGTACTGTGTATGCTGACTATAATTCCTAAAGGAAACTGGGTATATAACTTTGATAAATAAGTAGTCTGTTCTGTTAAAAAAAATGTGTGGATGCATGAAAATGTAATATGACATGGAGATATGATTGCCATTCTTTTATAATTTTACTTCTGTTATTTTTTTCCCCTATAACATGGCTTCTCTGGGAAGCCTACTGATGGACTAGTGAGATTCTTAGACTAATCTAACCAGCTTGCTTTATCTTGTCTCATAGTTCAAATAATTCCAGTATTCTAATGAAAGTTGCAAAAGGATCAGGAGGAGAATAAATATTACACTACCTAAATAAATGTGAAACAACTATAGTATTTAATATACCATTAATTCATTTACTTTTACATAATGTATTTATTTATAAAGGTGGCCTTCTAGACCAGGGCTTTTCAACCTTTTCACCCATTGTACCACTTTTAGGATATGGCAACATCCGAGTATCACCAGTCGCTTAGCAAGGTGTCAAAAACTTGATGACCCCCCCCCCAAAAAAGAAAAAAAGTGATAAAGTACAAATAGTCCTCGACTTACAACAGCTCACTTAGTGACTGTTCAAAGTTACAATGGCACTGAAAAGGGTGCCCTCCAAGCCACAGCCAAGCAAGACACCTGCCTAACCATCCAGCGGTGCTCTTTCTCCTGTCCGAGGTTTTCATTGTTGTGAGCATTTCTGGTGAGGATTGGCAGTGGGGGTGGGGTGGAGGGGTATTTGGTTTTTATTCCCCCATCTGCTGGGTGGTTGCAGCAGGTTTTGGTCACTTCACAAGACCCTGGGACACTGTGACCATCATAAATATGAATCAGTTGCCAAACATCTGAATGTAAATCACAAGACCCTGGAGATGCTGCAACATTCCAGCTGATCGGCGCTTCTTCTGGGCTCAGCAGAAGCTCCAGGATCAGTGCTGCTTTCCAGCTAATTGGTGCTTCTTCAGGGCTCAGCAGAAGCACCAGGATCTCCTCCGCTGAGCCCTGACAGCCCTGCAGCTCCAGCCATCTCTCGCTCAGGCTTGTGCAGTGCTGCCACTGGTTCAGCTCATTCCCCTCCCCCGCTACCACTTTTCTAGGATGGTCGCGTACCACCTGCCAGATGCCAATGTACCACAGGTGGTACCCATACCACTGGTTGAAGAGCCCTGTTCTAGAGATATACCTCCTCTCTTCTAGCAGCCTGCTTGTGTAGCTTTATGTTGCGATTTAATGAGATATTCCACCTCAGTAAAGAAAGAAAATTCTTATTCATTATACCAAAGCTATTGGTGAGTTTTCAAACGGCAATACCAAGCTGTCCACTTGGAGAAATTATTTAAAATTCTCAACATCCATGAAAGCATTCACACATTTCTTTGCAAAACAAGAGAAATTATATTGCATTCCTCTCCAAATTGATTAATTTACCTCTTTTGGAGCCTGGGGTTGGATATATTCTTTAAAAAGTTTCTGTGCCTCCGATATTCTTTTCCTCTGTGATAAAATCTTCTTATACTTTTCACAAGCCAACCAGAATTCCATGTTCTCATCACTATATTCGCTCTTCAGGTAGGACTTGTAGACAATTGGCCCATCTGAAAACAATGTAAATCAAACATTGATTTGCAAACCATATTGGAAGTAATGATAATGATTGTTATGTTTATTCTCTGTATGAGGGATCATTTTCCGAGGTTCTGAGATTACAACAGGAAGTGAACATTATTTCTACAGATAACTATCTATTTTGTTTTCCCTTCCATTTACCGTAATATGCAGTATTCATGGAGATATTTTTCATTTTACTCAGTATTCTCATTCTCAAGGACCTGTGACTCTATAGTTTATAACTTCCAACTAGTCTATCTACAATCATGGTAGTATAGGAGATTTTGGGGTGTTCTAATACAAATACAGCTTCCCAGCTGGCTGTAGCAGGACTAGAACTAAGTCTCTCAATAGGACCTTAGATCAGGAGTGTCAAACTCGCAATGTCATGTGATGTGTCATGACGTATCATGACTTTTTTTCCATTGCCGGCAATGGGATGGGCGCGGTTTCGGCTTGACACCCCTGCCTATTTGCCTGCCCCCCCTTCTGTTTAGTAGTGACATTCACCATTCAGCAGAGGAAAAATTTTAAAAAAAGAAACTGATATTTAATATATAATACCAGTCTGGAAAATCCTAAGGACGTAAGCAAATGAGCCAATGTGCTCAAAAGAAGGTCAAACAGTCTCTTACCCAGGGTAAGAAAAAGAAAAATAAGCAAAAGATTGTGAATGTTATTTCTAAATATAGATCGTATTCTTGAAACACAGCAGTTGCTGAAATCCTTTGTTATTGCTTCTTAAGTTCCTTCAATAAATACTGAAGAAAATCTTGGATGCTTCGTGAGCTTGGCTAAGAGGTTTAGTCCTGGGATGAAGCCTGACACTGCCAATGCCTGTCAAGAGCCTCCCCGGCCTCTGTTTTTAGATGAGAATGAGTTAGAAAGCACTAAAGAGTGTGAAAGTTAAAAAAAAGAGGCTGAGAGAGATAAATTCAGAGTGATTGGGTGGTAGAATAGGTGATGGGGGATACCTACGAGCACAGAGTGAGTGAGAGAGTGAGACGGAACGTGACAGAAGAACAAGTAAAAGATAAATAAATGAGAGAACATGCCAGTGATAGAGGGAAAGAGGGAGAATGTAAAAGAGTTAATCATAGATAATCTGGGGTGAGGGTGGGGGTGGGGGTGGGGGTGGAGGATCCAGTGTTGATTCTTGTGATCAGTGGACATGTGAAGTTTTCTCAGTAAAGCAGAAAAGGCAGAAATCCCCCACTCATCCTGAAAATCAAGTTCCAACAGATGGTTCGACTGCTAATCTAGTCATTTGATGAAATTCACCTCATCCCACACAATACATTATGGAGAGCAATTGGTAGATGTTTTTCAGCAAATTTGCATTTTGTTGACTTTGAGAATTATACCATATATGGAAAGACCTAAATTCTGTAAAAAATTAATGCAGGTTTTTTTTAAAACTGGCATTCCTTTTTTAAAAGTTTTCAATTGCTTCTTTTGAACTGGAAGCAATGATATTTGCATTAACAAGATCATTTTCTGTGGGGAACACTTGCATTTTAGACAGATTGGGTATGATAGCATATAACAAACTGAGAAGAGGAATAATGTGTAATGTCCTTGGCAGAGCTTCATTGGTAAGAATTCCCCAGTGAAAAATAATTATGTTAGGTTGCCATTAATCAGCTTGAAACTCTGACATCCCTTTGACCCACCAGCTGGTAAATTTCTACTGTATCTTCAGCTAAACCATTGGGAAAAAAGGCACTTTGGGTCTTCCTCTCCTGTTTTACTGGGACCTTCCTAATCAGATTTGGAAAGATGGCTAAGCTCACCATTCTAGACATTAGTCAGAATTTGCCCAGCCCAACCCAGCCCACCCCAGCCTAACCCACTATCACTTTAGGGACATGTGATTGGTGGAAATCCACCAATTGGTGCATTTTCATTTGCCCTGCAGTAAACTGTGAGGATAGCATTACTGCCCAACCTTGTTAATGAGGCAGAGTTGACATCATTAAATAGAGGGATAAGATTTTTGTTGGTATACTTCATGCTGCCTCATGGATTGGCACACAGCATGTTAAGTTGGCTATTTGAATATGTCCTATGCCAGTGATGGTGAACTTTTTAGAGACTGAGTGCCCAAACTGCAACCCAAAACCCACTTATGCATCATTGGGTGCCAGGAGGGTGTGGCCCATTGGTTGGGTGTGGCCAATTGGTTGGGTGTGGCCCATTGGGTGGGCATGGGTGCAGTGGTAATGACAGACTGGGTGGGACTAAAAAGTTCAATCAATCAATTCCAACTTTGCAAGATCATTTTTTTCCCGCAAGAAGTTGAAATTGACTGATTGAACCTTTTTTTTTTTTTTGCACACGGCGGCAGAGGCCTAAGTGAAAAGGTTTTATAAAACCCAGCTGAAGGCCTAGGACTGGGGCGATGGCGCACGTGCCCACATAGAGGGCTCTGAGTGCCGCCTCTGGCACCCGTGCCATAGGTTCGCCACCACTGTCCTATGCCATAAATATCCTTTACTTATTCCCATCCCATCTTACTCTACTGATTAATAATGATGTCTTTACTCACATTTAGTAGCCATAAGTTTTTCGAAAGACTGAGACCACTGAAGTACTTCTTCCAGACTTATTCTTTGAGAAGCAAGGACAGGGAGAGAAAACACAAAGTTAGAGCAGCCAGTAATCACAGTTTCATAATTAGCTTTAATAAAATCTGAGACTAAGGATATTGAAGATTTATCTTTATGGTTTGCTGAACATCCCCAAATACTGCCTACAGTTGTTTTCTGGTATTTTCAAGCTAGAGAAAAAATAATGCTAGCTTTAATGAATATTTCACATGGCAGAGAATACATCTGTATTTTTAGACAAATTAAATAATCAGTTAAAATAATTACAATAGCTGTAATATTACTGCATATGGGCCTGCCTATCAAGAAAGGATAGGCCAGCACATCTGAGTTTCAGAAGTGTGGATAAAAATTAGATGGCAACAAGTAGATACAGAAATTTTTAATTGTTTTGCTCCTCAGAGATTGAATCCTTAAGGAAGCAGTTTGTATAACTGGGTTCCTACATGATGGAACCTCCAATTCCAATACTGAGGCAGAATATTATTTGTATTTTGTTTTAGAAGTTGCCTGGAAAATCTTGTTATTCTTAGGGTATTTTGTCTATGTGTAAAATGATTGAATGAATGAATGACATCATCAATAAAAGTAGACATACTTAATAGAAAATAAGTGCCACTGAACTTACTGCAATATTAGGACCTATTTTACTTAAGCCTCCTTTGTTCAGAATTTGAAATATTCATGTTTCAAATCCTCCTATGTAATTTACAATATTTCTTTGTAGTGAAAAATCATACCTGCTTTTGAACTATGTATTTAGTCATTCTTGCTCAACAGGAGCACTTGGAAATATACCAGTTGGTATATACTGTACCAACCATTTTCAATGGTGAAAAAAGTAAGGTTCTACATTTAGGCAAGAAAAACCAAATGTACAGGTATAGTATAGGGGGTACCTTGCTCATTAGTAGTAACTGTGAGAGGGAGCTCGGAGTCCTAGATTATATCACTTAAATATGAGCCAGCAGTGTGCTGCAGCTGCCAAAAAAGCCAACACAGTGCTGGGCTGCATTAACAGAGGGATAGAATCAAGATCACGTGAAGTATTAATACCACTTTACAATGCCTTAGTAAGGCCACACTTGGAATACTGCATCCAGTTTTGGTCACCATGATGTAAAAAAGATGCTGAGACTCTAGAAAGNGGTTGCTGGAATTGGGTATGTCTAGTTTAACGAAGAGAAGGACGAGGGGGGATATAATAGCAGTGTTCCAATATCTCAGGGGCTGCCACAAAGAAGAGGGTGTCAAGCTATTTTCCAAGGCACCTGAAGGCAGGACAAGAAGCAACGGATGGAAACTGATCAAGGAGAGAAGCAACTTAGAACTTAGGAGAAACTTCCTGACAGTTAGAACAATTAACCAATGGAACAACCTGCCTCCAGAAGCGGTGAATGCTCCAACACTGGAAGTTTTTAAGAAGAGACTGGACAGCCATTTGTCTGAAATGGTGTAGGGTTCCTGTCTGAGCAGGGGATTGGACTCGATGATCTCCATGGTCCCTTCCAACTTTATTATTATTACTATTATTACTAAATATGCCAATAAGCAACCCAATCAACTTTAAAAATAGACCCAGAGAGTTGATTGGCACCTGTTCCTAGGCAAGTAGGATCGTGGACATTACATTAGAAATTATATTAGAAAGAAACTACTGAAAGGAAGAGTAGTACAAAAATAACAAAATGTAGCACTTGAAATTATAATGTTATATTATGCTACAAAGTACTACAGAGTAAACTATTTTCGTAATTATTGAAATGGCTAGAGATCATTATGGATTTCCACTGTTCATAATTGGGAAGTGAAGTAACTGATTTTTTCACATTAAAGAAATAGAATAGAATAGAGCTGGAAGGGACCTTGGAGGTCTTCTAGTCCAGCCTCCTGCTCAAGCAGGAGAGCCTATACCATTTCAATGGAAGAGATTAGCTCTCCTAGACTGCCATGTGCTGGGATACAAAATAGAGGCATTTGTTTTCATCTTCTCCTTTGACCTGTTACCACCACCCAGACACTCACAAAATCAACTTCATTATTTTGAACTTTAATAGTAATCCATTCTTGATTAAAAGTAAAATTGGCTTCTGGATGTTAAGGCCAAATAAAATATTCATAAACCAGCTCGTCTGTTTGTAGGGTTTTATAGGCTTGCTAATTTATAATCTCTTTCACTATTTTTATTGGACAACATGAATAGATATGTATGTACATATGTCTGTTTCTGTGTTATGCTAGTAGCCCTCCTGGGCCTATAATCATTTATTAACAATCAAATGAGGCCATCTTTGCTGACGATATAATCTAGGTTATGTTTGTTTAGTACCCAGATGGTATTTAGGACCATCAAAATGGCAATAAAAGGTGTGCAGCTTTTTAATTGTCCAGAATTCATCAGGCAAAACATTAACCAAAGAGAAAAAAGAGGGGAGAAGAGAGTGTAAACTTGTTAGGTTAACTGGTTCAAGTCATGTGGTTTATAGTTCAAAGTCCCAGGGATTCCTATATTTATCATATGACAAAAATACTCCTCCCCACACATGCAAACAACAGATTGCCTTTGTGGTTTACAACTGGTAGGGGAATATTTTTTTCATTATCCTTAAATTCCCAATTTAAATTATACTAAGAAGAATAACAAATGTCTGCATTTTTAAATCCCACCTTAGACTGACTTTGAACGACTGAGCACTGTCAGCAGATAAAAGAAAGCATGACAGTCATAACTGTACAGTCAAAGCCCTGTTTGTGTGTATTTCTGTGGGTAGTAGAGATGGTATCCTATTTGTTCAATGAAACTTCCCTTCCCTGATCTATTGTATTCCCAAACAATCTAGAGCAAATTAAAGTGAAAGGATGAAGGGTTATGAATGAGATTGGGGAAGTAATTTATGGAGAGATATCATTCTATCAGTGGACATACACAACTGGATTCAATTTGAATATCAGTAGCCCTTTCATAACTGCTGAGTGTATGTCACTGAATTCTCTGAAGGAGACAACAGATCCATAATAACAATGAGCTCACACCATTTTCATCCACTGCTTTTTACTTATCATCTATAGCACGGGTGTCAAATTCGCCACGTCACGTGACGTGTTGTGACATATCTTGTCTATTCTCAAAAGGTTTAAACTTTATTCATGCTTATGCATATACATCTTTTTACATTCTTCAGTGAAGATTAAGTTAGGCTGAGAAATGTTCAAAATGTTCAAAATCAATAATGACCTTCATGGCTAAAAGATTTGGTCTTAACTTTCTTCTGTTCTAAATGTTCTCATCACTACACCATACTGGCTCTCTGCATGGAAAACCTTCTGTTCCATCAATGGCATTTATGTTTAAAATTTCTCCATTTAAAACAAAAAAAAGAACTACAACATTAGTTCCCACCCTTGCAAAACAGGCCCTCCCAAAATTAATGTTGTAATAATATATTAATCAGTATTCAACTAGAGGGAATAATATGTGTATAAGGTGGGGGTTTTTTATCAGCTTTTTTAATGCTTTGACTTGTATTTTGTGGTGGGGTTTTTTTTGTCCTCTTGGATTTTTTTTTTTTAGTTTTGCATTTTGTATTTTAACTTTGTTCTGAATAAAATAAAAATACATATGAAAAACAAACCAAAAACCAAAACCAAAAATAACTACTTACCTCTAAACTACACTCTGAATTTTGACTGGGCCCCTGGATAGGATTTGACCCAAAGTTTCCTCCTATTGTTATTGCTTCCAAAATTGTATATACTGTACAGTACATGGAGGCAGACAAGTAGTATGTGATGCTCACTCTTGGGAAACTGAAAATTCCTGGTTTCCTCCTTTACCCTTTGTTCTGTAAATAAGGATTCTTGTTGATTGGTTTGTACTTACTTGGAAATGGCTCTGTTTGTGCCATCTCTGAATAAACTGCAAAGCCAACAGATGCTGTGATTCATAATCCTGGATGAAGAAAACAAAAATATTTAAGTACTCTATTCAAGGGACATTGGTAAGATGCAGGTAAGATGATAATGCTTATGTATTGATGCAACTTTAGGTCATCCTCCAGACAAAACAAACCAGTTTTCATCCCGGCTTACCTTGAGCTCGTTACATATGGATCGAGTTAATATCCTGATTATCAGCTATCTTTCAATCCCTGCAAGATTATACCCTTTCCTCTTTGTCATCCCATATGCCTGGGGCAGTTTCCTAGAATATCTGCATGACAAAAGCTTCCTAAATTCCTCATAACCTGTCTGTTCTATGAAGCCTCAGCCTCAAGTCTCAAATTTCCACACGTAACTGCACCTAAGTTTAAGATTTAGCATGTCCCTATATAACATGCATCAATTTCCCTTTTTCTTTTGTTTTGCTCAATTGAATTTTAGATTCCCTGATGCCAGTTCCCTTTTAGTGCATCTGCATCATGGAGCACCATGCATATTGACATCGTTATCATCATTACCACCACCACCATCATCCATGAAGTATCTTTTCTTATTGTGTTGCACTCCTGTGCCCTTGTTTCTGTTAATTAAGATGTGCTAAATCTAATAGAACTTTTGGAAATATATTGAGGAGGATTGTTCCTTTTCTTTGCGGAGAAGCAATTCAAGGAGAAACCAGCATCTTTGCTGCCCCTGTGTGGACTCCTCTGACAATGCTTTCCTATGTCCTCTGACAATGTTTACTACAAATAGATACAGTCAGAGGACCTAAGCTGACTAAGCTGAGGTGCGAAAAACTAATATACAATAGTCAGTTATGCTGGGAAGAGGTGCCCTTTAGATGTGATTGGATAGACTTCTGCAGGTGTCCATCTGTGATATCCATCTGTGGTTTCTAGATTATTGGAAATGTACTCCCTAAACCATAATGTCTTAATTCCAGAACTAGTTTTATGATTATTTATAGTGGAATAGCTGCAACTGGGTGTTCTGAAAAAGAGCAAATTTTCAATTATTTAACTCACTATTGTATATTTACTGCCATGAAGAAGGAGAAGAGAGTGATAGTGGCGAATATCTGTAGCTCGGATATAGTTTGAGGGTAGAAGTTCGTTCTCCATGCTTGTCGATTGGTTTCTGACCGTTTCATTACCAGGCTAGGTAACATCTTCAGGAGAAGCGACTGTGCAATGATTTACCTCATACCAAAATAAATTGTTTGGAATTGAGGTCCTATTTTTTTTTTTTTGACATGGCTGGTAATGGAAGTCAATTGTTACTTGATCTCAGACTTCAAACTGTAATAGGCACATCAAGTTCAGTGGTTCTTTCAGATTTCAAGGAAGTGGCTAAGTACTATAATCTTTACTTTACTGTCAGCAAATTCATAAAGGAATTAAATACATAAACTATTTCTCCTGAAAATTCAGAACCCTGGAATGCTCTATTCAGGGCTTCTAACCATACTCAATAATCATGTTTGTATATTTGCTTGTTTGTTTTTATTTGACATACATGCTCTAGCTTTCATTGTATCTAAGATGAGTAGTTTTTCAGTCTAAGAGATATCTTCGTGGAGCCTTCTTCTCAGTTCCTCAAAAATGAGCCCTAAGCTTTACAAAGTTGTGAAGCAATCAGCCAGAGTCTGTTAAACAAAAGACCGCTTTATGCTTTTTAACAAATATGACTTCTCTTAATAAAATCATCTGCTCTTTTTCAAATCATTTTTTAAAAAGGTTTACCTTCTTTTGCAAAATTCAACATTCAGTAAGGAGGGAATTCTCTAATTGTAAGTCATGGCCTCTGGGGAGGTTGCAAGCAAGCTAATGGGGAGTCACAACTATGTATGTGATTTAAATTTTGATGAGGCTTGTGCACACAAAGCAGAAGTACTATCAGATCTTCCTGTTTTCGCTAGACAAATCTTGCATACAAAATAAACTGTAAAATGTCAGCACTTGAATAGGAAGCGTAAACCATCCATCACTCTCAACAGCAGTTGACTTCTCACATGGCATTTGTCCATCAAAGTGTGTGTACAGTTGTTAGTGAAGTTCAGTATTTTTATACACTATTGTTAATTTCTAGACTTCCAAGACAGAAACATTTCTGTTACCTGGTTAAAAAAAAAAGCTAAAGATAATCTATTTACGAATAGTGCTGATAAAACAAATTTAAGCCAAGAAAGTATGAATATGGTATATATTTTAGTAAGTAATATATTCATATCTTGCCCATTCTAGCAATAATAGAATCAATTTTATTTATGGGGCGAGGGGTGTTACACAATTTCATTTATCATTGGATTGAAGATGAAAAGTTTGAAAATCCCTGCCATAAGGATTGGATTAATTCAACTATATTTCTATCTGCATTGAGGGATTATCCTGAGTGTCAGTAGGGAGTATCAAAGAAACCTGTTACACTTGTACATAAGTGTTTCTTAAAACGAAAAGACTCTTCCATGCATTTTGAATTCTTATGTTCACTAAAATGTTTACTTTTAGAATGTATAAACCTGGAAACCAAAAACACCCACTCATTGAGAAGTCTATTTTGCTTTGCTTTCTTTTTCTTTCTTTCTTTCTTTCTTTCTTTCTTTCTTTCTTTCTTTCTTTCTTTCTTTCTTTCTTTCTTTTTTTGCATTTTCATGAATCATTGCATTGGACATGCTCCCTCAATGAAAGAGAAAAACAGAGAAGCTAATTCATGCAGAGATGCAGCAAAATGGATTTCATGAAAGAAGGTAATTGGTGCATTTTGTTCCAAGCACACCTAAGGAAGAAATGCTGTACTTGCTATGTCCTATATTATCTTGGAAGAATACCAAGTAATGCAGCATGCATTTATTTGTAAATTACTGTGGCTTATATGCTGCACTATTACAAAACCTCTGAGTGGTTAATAAATAACAGCGTGAACATTTAAATGTGAAAACTCATCAACATGATCAAGGCTCTGATGTGCTACCTTTCAGGTGATTTGATCCTGTAAATGAATTTTCCCATGAAGGCAAGATTGTTGAGTCTTTCAACATTGTCAAGGACTCTTCCAATGATTGTGAAATCTTATTTGGGTTGTAATTAGTAGATATACGGTATAGCTAGATATTAACGAACATACCTATTTCCTTTTTTAAAAAATGGTGAAAGCAAATAAAGCTGTTATTAAGTTTATTTTAGATTTGCTCTTCATTCAAAAATGTTTCAGCCACAGGGCACTTCAGTTCTAGGCACAAATGAGATTCACGCCTTTAATATATTCCTCTCTCCCATCCACCAAAAAATATTAAACTTGGACTATCTTAGATATTTCAGTCTCAGAAATATAATACCTTATATTATCTTATATCTTAATGTAAGGCCTTAATTTTTCACCTTTACCAAATTTGCATTATACAATTGCACAACAATGGACTTATTTTAGTTACAGATATTCCATTATAACTATATGTATCTTAACCACAGTTTTCTTCTAATCTGGGAAAGCGTATGAAGAAATCCTTCAGAGCATGGCTCATATCCACTGATTCAGAGTTAATAGCTAAAAACTAATAAATCAAATGATAGACACTCATTAATTACCCTTAATGATTGTTGAACAGAAATGATTTTCTAAAAGTTTGAACTAATAGTATTCCCATTCTTTCTGCCTCTCATCAGGCCATTTATTCTTGTACAGAAATTGCAACAAAAATCCACCCCTTTGGCAGAATTAGGTTAATAGGCTACTGGGTGTTTTTATTAGAAGCACAAACACGTGATGCTGCATGTAACAATAAAATATTTCAAACTGAGGAGATCCTATTAAAATGATGCTGTATTTACATTTCTAGACTCTTTTGGAATAGTACAGTAGCTGTTTTTAAAATCCCCTGGCAGTTAGGTATAGGCTAATTGCTTACTTACCACAATATCCTGCAGATTTTGAGGAGGAGTTTATTGTGATGGTTGAGGAAATTATTTGCTTCTATTTATAATCAGAAATATGCCAAAATCTGACCTTGATTAGTAGTTTTTGACTTGCAGAGGATGCAGCATTGGGGATCTGCTTCTGGAAAAGAGCAAGATCTTGTATTAATGTGTCCTTCTTGGTGTTACTGAAAGTAGTAAGCGCTTCCCTTCTGCTTTTGGGGAGTTGTCATCTTCATGTGTTTACATTTAAACGTTGCTTGTGGTTAGTGGGAAGTTCTTTTTATTTTAAAAAAATGTGGAAGAAAGTTCCACCAGCCTTCAGAGATTCATTGATAAGATGATGTTTGTTCTGTCACTTGTAGGATATCTTTACTGATTGACTGAAGCTACATTAATTTTTTTTTTTTGAAGAAGTTATGAACAATGACTGCAATTAGCAGATAAGGCTGTCATTTTGTGACTAAGTTTCCAGTGATACTTATCAAGTGACACTTCTCTTCTTCAACTACAAGCCCTCATTTGAAAAGTGATGAGGAATTAGATATAGGTCAAAGCCACCTTCTTTCTATAATGAAACAGCCATAACATGTGATCAATTATTAAAATATGCTTTTGGCGAAGTCCTTTTATTTGCAATATTCTGCTCTGAGTTAAGTCACTGCATCTTGTAACTGAAGTTTTGGCTGAATCTGATGTATAGTATACTTTAATGTCAGTTGCTAGGGAACAGTGGAAAAGGGCTATGACTCTTGCATCCTGCTTGTGAGTTTCCAGGATACAGTATGTTTTAGGGATAGACAATCAAATGCCCTTGAATATTTCCAGAATGGTTTACTGCTTATGGTGCTAGCAGGAACTGTTAGGAGTTCAGAAATAAATTTTCTTACCCATTTCCGGAAACTATAGAGGAGAAAGGAAGTTCAATGTAGCAATGTGAAATGAAAGGATACCACTGTGCGCATTTTTATTTGCATGCAATTGTATTATGTAGATTGAAAGTTGTCTGCTCTGACATTTCAATCATTATAAAAATCTCTTTTCTGGGAATCCCTATCAGATAAAGTGAAATACATTTTGGGTAGTCACATATAGTAGAAAAGAAGAGGAAAGCATTACAGCATAAAATTGTATGCATACTAATTATACATGTAACATCAGCAGAAATATTATACATGGGTAATAATAATATAAATAAATCTGGAGTGGAGAAAACTTTGTTAATGTGATCTAGGATCTGTGCAACTTCTCATTCAGCTATCTAGCAACCAACTGTTGATACAGACCTATAGACTTTTGCTTTCCTACTTTTGATTCTCTGTTTCTGAATCAGGCATAGATTACAAGCCCTTTTATAAGAATTGCCTTCAAGAAAAGCAGTTCAAATATATATTGTCTTCTACCAAGTAGGATTCACAGATGGATGGGGAAGAGAACCCAACTGTGCTGAAATAATTTTGCAACATTGCTCTAGAATGCTTTCTCTAGGGTCTCATTGCCTGAAATCATTGAAAAAGACAAAATCTTGAAAAAAACAAAATATTCATAACATGTTAAATAGTAACATACAACCAGTGGTGGGATTCAAATATGTGAACAACCAGTTCTCTGTGTGGATGACACTTCCGGAAGTCCATTCTGGGCCTGGGTAACAGAAAATTAGCTACCGGTTCTGCCAAAGTGGTGTGAACCGGCTGAATCCCATCACTGAATACAACACACTTTCTGCAAGACTTTGTATATCTGATGGAGCAGCTTTTTAGATTTCTGTCATTTTATCTTTCTTGTTTTATTATCATTGTATTTAGTGTCTCTATTTAGGTTAAGGCTGTTTGCGACCCTTGGATTTTTTTGGGAATTTTTTTTGTTTTGTTTTTTGTTTTGGTTGAGTAGTGATGGAGGAGTTGGAAGGAACAAATATAACTTAAACCTGAAGCATGCATGCATGCAAACAAGCAGGCAGTAAAATTTAAGTGTGGTTAATTAAGATGAAATATTTGGTGAGGTGGATATTTTTCTTGCAAACTTCTTAGGTTTTGCAGATTTTTAATAAACCCCAGCTTGCATCATTACTTTCTGGGCTGCTGCTGATTCTTTGCTAATATTTCCTTCTTTTAAATCTTTCTTCCTCTTGCTACACATGGACGACCTGCTCCCAGCAAAGAGCGAATGGGCTGATGTTTCATAGTTCCAAAAGCATTATGTTTCACTGCAAGAACTCATGTTGGATGCATTGTAACAATTTTAATGAATGAGGATGTTGCTTTCTTAGTTTTTGTTAATAAACAGTACAAGCATTTTAATCTGATGTTGGCAGCATGAAGATCCATAAGCAGCAGCAGCAGCAGCA